AAAAAACCCTCTCAAAAAAAAAAAAAAAAAAATGGTGATAGGATGGAGAAGTGGAGGAAAAAGTACTGCAGTATGACCACTTACTGGGGGTGCTTTCTCTCTGGCAAGTGCATGTGTCCTCTGGCAAAAACAAAACAAAACAAAACAAAAACATACACACACGCACACACACAAAAAAACAAACAAACCAAAAAAAACTTCATTGATAACTAAATGGAAAGGCAACCCTTGTTCATGAACTGGAAGATTAGAAAACTGAAATCCAAAGAGGCTCAGTACTTGTCCATGAGCACATAGCTAGCTAACAGGAGGACTTGGGTTAAAATTTAAGCCTGTCAGACTCCATGCCCTTTCAGCATATACACTACAAGGCCAGCACTGAAACTCAACTCTGAGAAACTCCCACACCTGTGCTTCTTCCATTACACTGCCTCTCCCAAGTGTACTTCTGAAAGGATGTCATCTCTTTTTTTTTTTTTTTTTTTCAAAGAGACAGCAGACAGCCCTACCAGTGGGGAGACTGGAAAGAGGATTCGAGTTAGGAGACTGCTTTACTAAACCAGGAAAGGGGTTAATAAGGTTCCATATCACGGTAGTGACAAGAAAATGGAGAGAAAGGGACAGATGTACGAGAAGAAAAAGGTTTTGAGGAAAGAGGTAACTAAGAGACCAGAAAAAGAGGGGTAACTAGAGATGGTGCCCAAGTTTCACACTTGAGTGAAATGTGAATTCAAATCCCTGGACTTAATCAGAGTCTATGATGGTACTCTACTTTCCCAGAATCAGGAGCACCTGGCCAGAAAACCATGCTGTATAATACCCAAGTTACTCTATAAAATATCCACATACAGGGTCCCACATGGTCAACTGTGTTTACTTTGAGGGTTTACATAAGGAAAAACTCTTGAATTATGCAAGATTTTGAAGTTAATTACAAAATATAATAAAAAGCAAAGCAGAATATGCAAACTTATATTTTCTCTTACCTGAAATATTTTTATCACCCTCTGGAGAACTATGAGCAGTACCCTTGTAAGAGCTAACAGGCTGGCTACTCAAAAGGTTATCACACTGCATGCTGTGGCAGAAGGTCTCAAGAAAGCGAAGAGCAAATGATGCGCTGTTCACTGGAGGGAGCTGGATGGAATGAGTCTCCCCATCAAAGTAGGCTATTAGGGGGAGAACAATGTCAGAATCATATCACAGAGAGATGAGAAATATAATATTAACAAAAACCTCATCAATTTAGGAAATGCACTTTAAGTCTAATCTGTGGTTGTTACAATTAATTCATAAAAGAATAACCTGTAATTATAAGTTTCTTTCACTCCAACACAATAGCCTGAATTGGTTTAAAAACATTCTCATTTTAAAATACTCATTAAGTGGGACCAGCAGATGGCATAATGATTATGTCACTGGACTCCCACATGGCTAACCATGGTTCAATACTGGACCAGGAGGCTTGAAACTCATGCCAGGTGTGTGAGCATGCATGTGTGCCCAAAATCCCAAGAGGAGAATGGAGAAAAGATTGCAGCATGGCCATCCCCCAGGGGGTTATTTCTTGCTTTCTTTCTCTCTGTCTCTCTCTGTGTCTCCACTGAGCACACATGCCCTATAGTGAAAATCCCTCTCAAAACAATATATGTGTGTGTGTGTGTGTGTGTGTGTGTGTATACACATATTCATAAGGCAAACAAAAATGTGGCCCAGCTGTGGCAACACAGTGGTGGCACAACACTCTGCAGTGCTAGAAGCCACAAGATTGGAATTTGGTTCTAGGTTGACCTATACCTGCTAGGCACATACATGTATATGTGCCTTGCACATGCTGGGAATCTTGGCTGGCTTGGAAAGGCTAGGGGCAGGGATAGGCACATTGAGAGCTCTGTTGAGGATGCTTGTCTGTCTGTCTCTCATGAGAGGAAAAAACAAACTTTAAGAAATAAAAGATAATAATAGAGTAAATAACACAAATTCACCAATCTATAACACGTTGCCTGTTCTGAACATTCCATGGTTACAAATCTTATATCTAATCATACAATAATGGAAGCCACCAGCTATATCTTATCACTTAATGACCTCCTTGGTCACATTTTTAGAGCTTACAGATCTGTTTTCTATAAAAATTACAATATATTATCAACCAAGGTAGTCTGTCTCTGAAAAGCTTAACAAAGCTGAATTCATTTGTCTTTTTTTTAAAAGCTTTAATTCATTTATTTCTTCCATGAGCAAGAAAGATAAGCATCCTCAACAAGGTCCTCACACCATAACCCACCCCTCAGTCCAGCCAACCCCAGATCATGGGCTTGTGCATGCCCAGAACATTCATGGAGGTTTCCAGACAAGAACCCAGAAACTTTCCATGGGGTCAGCCTCAAAGAGTACTGCATTACCATTGCACCACCATCTGGTCCCAATCTGTTTACTTTGAAAGTAAATTCTCAAACCAGGGTTGAAGGTCTAAAAACATGTATAACAAACATTGTAAATACCGTATCTATATGATAGATATTACAACACTGTAATACAGTATAAATATTATGAATAGTCTAATATAAAATCCTAGCCTTGTTGAAACTTAAAATCAAATTCAGAAAGAAAAACTGAATAAAAGATTAGGATAGGGGGACCAGCAGGTGGTGTGGTGGTTAAGGCGCTGGACACTCCCACGTGGCCGGCCACGGTTTGAGTCCTAGACCTGGTAGCTTGCACGCGTGCGAGCGCTCTCTCGTCAAATGAAAATAAATGAATAAATAAAATTAGTAAATCATTCTAAAAAAACTTAAAAAAAAAAAAAGATTAGAATGAGTATACCAGTTATCACTTCTCCACGATGATCTGGCTTAAGGAATCCAAAAACAGTCTTAGCCTGAAAAGCACAATCCACACAGGCCTGCACAGTTCTCCTGAGCACCACTGTCACAGGTCCTGGGCCAAAGTGGTCGGGCAGCTGCTGGATTCTCCTTGGATCCAGGTAAGGGCCAAAGTCTCCATGTTTGTTTATATACACACAGACTGGAGGGAAAATGTGTATACAGATATAACAAAGAGATTGATTAAAAGGAACTTTGTAAAAAATCTATTACATCATCTTTCTAGCCACTTCACTCAGAGAACCTGAATACATTGGGTTGTTGGAAAAAATCATAACACATTTTTGCACAGAAAAACATATTAAAAATGTCATGACTTTTCTGATAACCCGATTAATATCAATGATCATTACTACTACCTAAAAATACATAGGGAAATATACATTTAAATTTGCATAAAGATACTAAACAAACCAAAAATAATCAAAATGTTTATTCTGTTCTTTAGAATTTTGCCCAAATTGATTACATAAAAGCTATAGAAATTTTAGGAACATACAAAGCAATTCTTCACACATTCCCACATTATATAAAATGGCACAAAGACAAATAAATGTTTTCATTTTTTAAATGAACATCCTGAACAAGAGTTACCTTTCAAAACTGATCATGTTGGCCCACAAAGATGTACAATGATTATTTGTAAACAAGGAATGATTATTTTAAAAACTAGATTAAAAAGAAGTTTTGGGACCAGCAGTTGGCATAATGGCTATGTCGCTGGACCCCCATGTGGTCGACTGTGGTTTGAATCCCAGACCCGGTGGCTTAACTCACACCGGGTCGTGTGCATGTGTGCCCAAGATCTCAAGAGGAGAATGGATGAGAAGGGATTGTGATGTGGCCATCCCCGCTGGGGAGTGGTTTCTCACTTTCTGTCTCTCTGTCTTTCTGACAAGCATATGCCCCCTATAGCAAAAATCTCTCCCCCCAAAAAAGGAGTTTTAAAGGTTAAAAAAAACCTCTGGTCATCTTGGACTGAATTTCTTTTAAATCACCAATACTACAACTCAACTATATTTTCTAAAGTAACCAAACAAGCATATATGTCACAGTTAAGTTCAAGTGACAAAGAGAAATTTGTCTCTCTCTTTCTGGCGAGTGCACGTGCCCTATAGCAACCCCCCCCCCAAAAAAAAAGAGTAAGAAAATGTACAGAAGATACGTAAGAGAAATTGATTCATCTAGGTCTATATAATTTCAAACTCTTCCCGTAACAGAATAATTTAAAGTCACCATGTCCTTGATAGGAAAGGACCTGTAAAGAAAAAGATGGGTTTTTTTTGGAGAGGTTTTTGCTATAGGGCGGGCGCATGCACTCAGAAAGATAGAGACAGAGAGACAGAAAACAAGGAATCACCCCCCAGGGGGGATGGCCACGCCGCAATCCCTTCTCCTCTATTTGCCTCTTGGGATCTTGGGCACGCACGCACAG